TGCAAATGACTAAATTTTGATCCCTGAAATTCTTGGTAATACCAATGTTCACTTTGTCTGGTTTTGTTGCAGCATGCCCCATATTATCTCCTTCAAGTTCTTCAATTATCTTTCTTACAATATTAATCATTCTAATTGCATCTGTAGTTACATTACTCAAATTAGGATTATCAATAAATTTACATTGACAATTACCAAATAGCACAGAGAGAATAAGTTGTATCTGTGGACCATGCATAATATGTGAGTAATGTTTGCTGCAAACATTTATATTTCTCCTCACAAAAAAACATTGCTTCATGAAGATTTTGAAGGCTTTGTTCAAGGTGAACTTTCCTTTGAGTAATTTCATCTTCTCCAACATCTCCTCTTGATTCACAAATGATCCCATAAAGTAATTTAAATTCACTTCTTGAAAATAAAATAATACTTTTTGATAGTAAACCATCCCTTCCAGCTCTTCCACTTTCTTGGATATACTGACCAATGCTTAAAGGAAAATTGAAGTGTATAATAAGGTATACATCCAAAGTATTTATACCCATACCAAATGCATTGGTTGCAACAATTATTTTTGTAATTCAGTTTTCCATTTCATCAATTTATTATGTTTTTCTTCTCCTGATAATTTACCATGATAAAAATCAATACTAAAATTTGTAATTTTAAGAGTCAAATAATTTTTTAGGTCTTCACAAATTTTGGGAGATGCACAATATACTATGCATCTCCCAACAGGATTGTTATTTATTTCCTCAACAACCTGGTTATAACTAACTTCATTTCTTGATTTCTTTTTTTCCTTCACTTCCAAAAAAATGTGAGGATGGGAAAATGATAATGATGTAAGATTATTCCATTCTATTTTCATTTTTTCATACAATGCATGAGCTTCTTTTTCTGAAATTGTTGCACTAACCATCATTATTGAAGAATTAGGAAAATCTCTTTTGAGTATCTCTGCAATACCATTCCAAGCATTATGAAAATATTGGTGTTCCAATACATATCACTGATATCCTTTTTAACATATTTTGGAAAGTTTTATTTGCTACAAAGTTTTCTGGAGTCAAGTAAATGATTTGCACCAATTTTGATGCAATTTCACTAAATAATTGCTCTTGATATGATGGTGGTTTATCTGAAGCTGCATATAGTCCTGCAGATGGAATTCCAGAACAAACTAACTCAATCACTTGATCTTCAATCAATGCCTTTAAAGGACTAAGTATTATTGCAATACCATTTGTAAGTAAAGATCCAATTGAGTAACATAATGTTTTTCCACTTCCAGTTGGTAATAATACTAAAGTATCTTTATTGTTAACAAAACTCTCTATAGCTTCTTGTTGACCCCAACAAAAGTTTTGATACCCATAAATTATTTGGAGAGCTAAAACAGATGGAGAAATTGATGATTTTGTAGGAAATTTGGTAATAATGAAATTTTTATTTAAAACTCTATCATATTGTTGTTGTGAGAAATAGAAATAACAAACTTTACATAAGCCATTTGCACTATATTTAGGAAAAGAAA